AGCAGGAGTTTCAGAGGAGATGTAGCACCCCAAAAAACGCTATCATCCACATGTTGAGTGGTGTCACAGCTCTGATCTTTATGTCTTGCTTGATTTTTTTTTTTTTTGACAAATATCCTTAGGTCTTGAAAAAGGTACCTGGACAACCCCTCTCCCCAGCAGAGTAGATGCAGGAGATCCAGTAGCGGATGGTGGAGTCAGGGATGGACCAAGATTCCAGCGGGGCACCAGCTTTCTCCGCCAAATACCATTCACCCCATATCTCCCCCAACTTTGCAGAAGTCTCAACCCCTCCTTACTGTTCTGCCCAAGAGCTATTCCCTGCACCACAGTGTGGCAGGACCTGGGCAGAAATCGTGCGCTGAGATTTCCCTACCAAAAATAGCAGAGTCATTCTGGCTTTAAAATCAGATTTCACAGGAAAGCCAGTCTTCAGCTAATGGCTTGCAGGAGAGTCGGGGAGAGAAAAACCCTGTTATGGTGTTATTGCAAATTCGCACTTTCAATAGCACTTGCCTCCCCTCCCCTTTCTGCTTCCCAAAGACACTTCTCACTCGCAGTCTCCAGCAAGATATAATAGAGACCTTTGCCATCTCCTTCCAGCCCCAGTAAGATGTTCCAGCACATCCCACCCTGGATTTAAGCCTGGTCCTCCTAGGAAACTAAGGACTGGTTCCTCCAGCTTGACAGAGGAGAAGACAATGCCCATGGCTTGCATTGTCATCAGCACATCTGGCTGGCACGACAGCCAGGCTACCTCTGGTTGCCCTGGCAACCACCCAGCTGGAAATCACTGCAACCGAAAACCAACAACGAACACCAAATAGGAGGGGCAGATGTCCAAACGTTGACCGTTTGCTACAGTCAGGGAAGGACACCCCTGTTCTCCAAGCTGAGCACCTCGACCTCCCTGAATGCGCCACTCCGCAAAGTGCTGATGGCAATGCAGTCAGAGCTGAAGACCCAAAACCACTCATGAAGTTTACGAAACATAAATAACAAGTGCAGAAGCCTCAGGTTGTTTCTGTGGGGGGATGGAGAGAGAGAAATTGCTGTGGAATGGGACACAACCCTCCTACACTAGACCCATCCTTTGGAGATGCACCATAACTCCCCTGACTCCATGGGAAAGTAGGATGCACATTCATCCTGGGGTGCTGTTTCCAACCCAACTGGGTGGTCCTTGCTGCCTCTCCAAACCTAAGTCCCTCCCAGAGGGACTGGTGCATCTGGGAGGAATCTGATCAATTTGTTTATTCACCAATTCAGTAGCGGCTCACAGCTAGAGAAGACCAGATACAACATGAAATCTTGCATGTCTACAGTCTGGCAGGTAGGTTGGGGCAGAAGAGGACTTCCCAATTTGCTGCTTCAAATGGAGTATTCTGGATTTTCAGTAAATAAATCAACCTTTGCAGGGAACAGACAAAAGGAAGGGCACATAGTTAGAAATGGCTGTTCCAGGTAGAGTTGCTCTTTTAGCAGAAGCACAGGGGAGTTGTATCAGCCACAG